GGGGGGGGCTGCTTCTGCAATTACCCGTCATTAGTCCACAAAGTCTTCCGCCACAGCGCCAAGCTAGCGCCGGTGTGCCCTCCAAGCAGCCGTGGCTCGACCCGACTCGGCTCGGCCCGGCTCGGCTCGGCCCGCCTCGGTTCGCGGCTCGGGACCTTTGAACTGCTGCCGTATCTTCCAGAGGTGCCCTCCAGCGGTAAGGTACCCGAAAGGTATACTGCTCCACGACAGCAATTGCCTGCTGTCGCAAAGTTTTGTTCAGTTGTGATTATTGCCATCCGGACTCGTCAGCCGGGTGTGATCATTAGGCCAACATACCACTTAACGGCCGCGCTAAAAGTTTTGCATAATGAGCGGGGGGGACCGAAGCCAAACCGACGGTACCTACACAACACTTCCACCACATTGTCGGGCGCGAGGAAAAAAAAACAACACGGGAAGCCCAAATGTGTGTGAATGTCGCACACTTGTAAGTGTGTCAACGCCAATCGTACACATGGGGGCAGAAGTATGCGAATTTCAAAGGAAAATTCACACCTTTACTCCCTTAAGTTTACGAATGAGCATTCACACACTTGCGTTTCCAGTGAAACCGCAGAAAGAAAATGTGCCCTTTCCTTTCCCCTTCTCTACTGTCATAATTCCAGCAAATTCACACTCAGCGGAGTGATGAGCGCGGCGCGCGAACTTTCCAGAGGACGGCGAGGAGGCGGCTCTCAGCAGGGACAGAGAGAGAGGAAGAAAGAGAGGGAGGGAGGGAGGGAGGGGGAGGGAGAGAGAGAGAGAGGGGTTTAGGCGCCTGCCGTCCCACCAACAGGACTGTTTTCGTCTGGAGAGGTCCATCCTCGCCCCCGCTCCTGTCCCCGCTCCTGCCCCGCCTCTCATAAGCCACAATTAAGGCAAACGGAGCAGGTCTCAGCTGGTTTCTACTCGTTTTTCAGTGAGTCATTCACGGGGGGCTCCCACATCAGCAGTGCGGACGCCGGGTCGCTGGGAGGGGAGGGACATCATGTCCATCCATGGTGACGAGCGGGACGGTAGAAGGGTCGAGATCACACCCCCGAGAGGTCAGCTCAACTCAAATATTGGGCTGGCCTAACGTAGTAATGTTTAAGTTGTTCCGGAGACTCGGGGATCTCTGAGGAAGTAAGTCCGTTTTCCTCAGATTCATTCGACAGATGACTGGAGCATGGCGCCTGCGAGATGCAGGGTAGGCCACTCCGCGATACACGCATGCGCTGAAGGCGAGATGTTGCCTACCTATCAGGCGCTATGAGAGCTAGCGGGAGCTACACTTGGCAGTTTCGTGACGGCGAGTTAGACGGGCATGCTTTCGGGGTGATCCCTAGTCGCTCATTGCTGCTAGACGGCCGGGCTTTACAGTGCAGACAGGTACTCACCCTTCGCCCAGCCGGTGAGCACGTTGCCAAGGTAGGCCACCTTGTAGGTGGGGTCGCTCTCCGTGATGACGACGGACCGTCGCCGGCACAGCTTGTTGAGGCTCATCTTGATGTTCTTGACGGTGAACTGGCGCAGGTGGCGCGGCAGGGGCAGCCGCTGCGACAGCTGCGAGAGGGACAGCGTCGAGGCCAGCGACGACATCCTCCGGCGGCCGGGCTGGTGCGGGGTGGTGCACCGGGACTCGTCCAGGTAGCGGAGCAGGTTGACGGGCAGCGACACGACGGAGGGCTTGGGCGGCCGCGCGAGGTCGGCGTCGTCGTCTTCGTCGCCATCCTGGACGCTCTTGTGGCCCAGGTCATGCAGGATGTCCTTGTCGTCCCTGACGTCCGGCAACCCCGTCAGCGTCCTGGACATCTCGGGGATGTCCTTGAGGCTCCGAGGGTCCCGCACGAGGCTCGGCACTATCTTGTCGACGTATTCCTCCGTTCGGCAATTCGTCTTGAGGTACTCGAAGATCTGCACGTGGGTGTCGGGAGACTCGGGGGTGGTCGGCGTCAGGGGGTAGTCCACCGTGTCCCTGGAAGATGAAGTGCACAGTTCAGACACCCACAAAACACAATGCACACGATGCACATCTAGAATCAGCAGGTGCTCCACACCAGACTAGAAATAACACCAGCTCATCATCACGTACGAAGACCCCGCAGCTAAGGGGCTAAAGAGCTTCATCCCTTGCATACAATCGTCAATAAAAGGTAAAAATCTATGCACCACCATAACAATCTGGGTTTAGGGCCCCACGATAACAATTTCCCCAAACCAACGACGGACATGATGCACTACACTCTATGAGGTGTTAAAATGAATGAATGAATGAATGAATGAATGAATGAATGAATGGATGAATGAATGAATGAATGAATGAATGAATGAATGAATGAATGAATGAATGAATGAATGAATGAATTGTAACAAGTTACTCTATGAAGCTTTTCTTGTATTATTGCGCGGTAATACAATTGACAGTCATAAAAATGTGTCCTAAAGAATTAAATATCAGGCATGCAGGATATTATACTGAACAAATCCTGATGAAAATAATACATTACTTCAATATATTTGACATGCACACCTGTTAGGGACAGCTAATTTTAAGGAATTATGAGCTCGTTCAGTTAAAAGAATCTACTGCGCAATGCCAAATGTTCAGCAATGCTCTGGACAATGACGGATATCAGCACATCAAGGTGGGTAAACTACTCACACATCGTCGCTGGACCGGCGGCTGGTCGGGACGGAGGCCGCGGACGCCGACGCGGAGGTCCTGCGCAGCGGGGCGGGCGGGTCCTCCCGCTTGGCGCGGACCTGGGCCCACTCCTGGGGGTTGACGACGAGGCGCAGCCCGCGCGCGGCCTCGGCCGGCAGGGACATGGGCACGACGACGGGCAGGAGCGCGGCGCCGGGCGCGGGCACCGTGGGCACCAGGGGCACGACGGGCACGCTCATGGCGGCGGCGGCGGCGGCGGCTGCGGGGGGCTCACGGCACGCTCACACCATGACTCATGGCAGAGGACTGAGCTCGGCAGCGGCCGGCCGGGCCGAGCGACCGGTGCGGCGGCAGCGGTGAGAGGTGGAGTGGGGCGGCGGCGGTGGCGGCGGCAGCAGCGGTAGAGGGAATCACTGGAAAAGACAAAAAGAGTACGCTCTCAGTATAATGGCGAAAATCACCCAGGTAATGTCAACCTCGCCATTAGCGGCCGGGCCGAGCCCAGCCGAGCCCAGCCGAGCCCAGCCGAGCCCAGCCGAGCCGGGCCCAGGCGGATTGTCCGTCGCTGCTCGGCCCGCGGTGCGAGGGGATGGCCGAGAGGGGCAATGCCTGGCAAGAAAGGCAATGGCATCGGGAGGTTCAGTGCCTCCTCCTCTCCTCCTCCCCTTCTCCCCAAACCCTGCTCCTCTCTGTCGCACGGCGCGGCAAAGAGGAGGAGCAAGGCGAAACAAATAACAGCGCGGCGAGGAAACTGGACAATTCGAGACAAAAAGCAAAGCCTGCTGGCCGTGACTTTTATTGCAATCGAGGCGGGTGAAGGGTCTCCGCCGAACTTTTAATATGTAATTCATCGGACTTTTCTACTTTTGCACCCGCTTGCGCCACCCTCGACCTCCGCCGACCGTATCGCGGTACAAGACAGAAAGGGTTTCCTCGTCCATCACATCCCAAACGCCCCCCCAAAAAGGCAAAAAAGCGGTGTACTTTGTGAATTTTGAAGTTGAAATTCAAATTCCGTGTTTAGTGTGGACTCGCTGCGCCGCACGCGCCGCCCTGGTTTAGCATTTAAAGTGCGGCCGGGACGGGGCGGTCGGGACGGTCACCGCGGACGATAAAAACTGTCGCCATCGCTTATGCGGCGCTATGCGCCCCAAAAGCTTATGCCGGGCCCGGGAGGGAGAAAAAATGGAAAGGTACCGCGACCGCTGCACCCGTCGCCCGGCAAAAATAAACCGCGCGGAAAGTCGTGGCTGAATAAGGAGCCGCAAATAAAGTATGTGCCAAACGCTCACACTGCAATCGAAAGAACGTCACGACAATTGTCACTGCAGGGTTGTACTTTCTCACTTTCTGTGAGTGACTTTTCCGCCAAAGTAACCAATATGAGTGAGTTTTGCAAATTTCTCGTTTTTCTGTGTTCTTTCACTCGTGGACGTCTTGGTCTATTTGATCGAAGAATTAAGTGCATTTTGAAGGCCGTTCGGGGAAGATCAACCCCACAGCAGTACCGTTCGATGAATCCCTCTCTCGACAGATCATTTGCTCTCTCAGCCAAAACTAAATGGGACTAGGGCAGCCCTCATAGAATTAGGAGTCCCGTAGGAGCGTGCGCCACGCACTGGTGGCTGGGGGTAAGTGGCGCCACCTGTCGGACAAATGGAGCGCTTTAATTGTGTCGCGGTAACTAACAGGCGGCCGATCTGGGGCGGGGGAAAGGAGAAATGGCTCGTTTTTATTTACAACATTTTTTTAATGGTCCATTGTTTGTACAGTCTTATATCAATGCAATTTTTACAATAATTATTGTCCTTGGCAGTCGCCAGTTTACAACAGAAATTAAAAACATATTTGAAGACCCACACCCAAAATAAAACGAGTTTATTGAATCAAGTAAATATCCTTAAAACTAAACTTAACATACGTACTGCAAAACACTCAGTTTTCTACATGGTTGTGCTTTAAGGATAGACTTATGCTAATAAAGGAGCCAATAACCAAATTTTTACTGAGGCTCTCGTAATGTTTTTCCCAGCAGGCGCGGCTTGATTTATTTGGTCGACCTTTTCATGAGTCATGATACTGTGCAAAACGAAACAAAGTTTGCATCGATCCGCGAGGGTGGCTCGCTGTAAGCCGGGCGCGCGGGGGGCTGGCCCGTATAGTTATCGCGATGAAACCGAAGTCGTGGCGCGGCGCGGTGCGGCGGTCAGGGCCCCGGCCACCGCTGTACTGCAGGCTATCGACCACGACACGGTAGCTTTGCTCCGGCCACACCACTCGGCAGAAGGGTTGACGTATACAGCGCGCGGGGTCCATATACCCAGTCAGCCGGTGACCCCGCGCACCGCGTGCCTGATCCGTCGCTGCCCCTTCCTCCTCCTCCACCTCCCTCCCTCGCCCGGAGGCTGAGACGCACATCGCCGCGCAGCTTTCCCCCCCCCCCTCAAAAAAGTAATAAAATGTAATCAAACTTATCTCCTATGAGTTATCTCCTCAAAGTTATCGTCGCACACCTCGCGAGGCTTAAACCGCGCGTCTCTCTCCTCCTCCTCCTCTCTACCCAGAATTAGCTTCAGGCCCTACACACACGGCCCCGGCCCGCCACGCCCAGCACCACGCCTCTGTCACGATGCACATGAAACCTGTTTCACTCCAAAGTTCAAGGTCGCCTCATCACGTTCAGGTTCG